AAAAAAAAAAAAAATCAATAGCAAAATAAAATAAGGAAGCAGAAAAAGCATGACTCTACTTGCTTTTGGTTTATGAGCAAACCACGTGAATGTTTGGTTACTGAGTGTTGGGAAGATGGAACCTGAAGTCACATCTTCATCATAATAATGGCTACCATTTGTTGAACACTGTGCTACATGACAAGCCTGTTTTATCTCATATAGTTCTCACAGTAACCCTACACAGTAACTATCCTCATGTCCATTTTATAGGTGAATGAGACTCAAAGAGATTGAGGTTTACTATGTTCACCTGGCAGTTAAGTTACACAGTTTTATTTTCCATTAAAGATGACTAATGGCAATGGTCAAAGTTAGGTTTGGTTTTTGTTTCTTTGTTTTACAGTATCAATTCTATGATTTAGAGTTTAATTATTCTTTTATAGTGAAATGGTTATTCTCATTGTTCTCCTAAACGTCTTGTGTAAGTAGCAGTTCCTACCATTTCCATATGCTGAGATGTTTTTCCCCTGTTTACTGCATCTGTTTACTGTCTGCCTCCCCACCATGTGTAAGCCCAAGAAATCAAAAACTTTGTTTTGTTCACTGTACTGCTGTATTTCCAGTGCTAGAACAGTACATGGCACACTGCAGGAACTCACCAAGTAGTTTTCAAATAAATGAATGAATAAATATATGAATCCTTTGAAGGATCAAATCAAAACTCCCTTGAAGTCCTAATTACCAATGGTCCTTTGAGCTAACAGGTTCCCAATTGTGGGAGTTGAGTTTTCTGCTACTTGTATCCAAAGCATTTTAACTGATATACTCCCTAATGCAATTTTTCTTGGGAGACAATTGAATTAAGAGTGCTAAGTGAAATAATTGATTAGAATAAAACATTTTTTGTTCTACATTCACGTGAGAATGAAGAGAGGTCTTACTGAGCCCCAACCAACTTTTATCTAATGTTACTTAATGTTTCTGACTCATGGGGAAGGGTCCGTGCAGCAAGGATCTCATGTAAATTGCTTATAGTTGAATTCCCAGAACTTCACCCAGAGTGGGTCTCCAAGTATATTTGTTAAATTTAAATATGCTCTGTTTCTGAATAGATTCAAATAGTAAGATTTTAATCTCACCTCTTCCTAGCCCTTGGATTTGGAAGCAAGTAACACAAACTTTGTAAGCTTTGGGTTCCTTATCTAAAAAGTGGAAACAGTACCCTGTTCTCTGAGTTTGACACAGTTCCTAACATATAGTAAACACTAAATAAACATAAATCAGCAATAGCTTGCTTGTTATGATTGCAGTGGGAGTACCTGTTCCAATTTTATCTTTTTCTATGCCTGGTGTTTCTGAAGCTCCAGCTAGAGCACTGCTCCCTCTGATGAGTAGTTTATAGAGCTTAGAGCCAAGCATCATAGCTAATAATTTCATTAATGAATGGATTCTGGTGTTTCTATTCTTTCCCATGTTTATTCCTTTGCTGATTAATGGGAATTGAGAACTAAACTAAACATCTGACATTAGGGCAGTAGGAAAGACTTCACCATGCAAATAGAGAGTTTGACTGAATGTTGAGTCACCCAGCTGGGCTGCCCACACTAATCAGTTCAGTGGATGCACACCTCTCTCCTTCACATGTGTGGATGTACTCTGAGTGTTCTCATTGATTGTATGTCACTATACTCTCCCCAAGATTTTACACATTAGGGTAGTATGATTAAAAAAGATCACACGAGAAATTTCTCTAATTTTTAGTGTAAATTTTATGTTGTAAAATACACTACTACAGCCACTTGCAAAGTACCAGGGTGTCGGTTGCATAAGACGTGCAGTATATTCATGTGATCTGCCACTGAACAGATGACTAAAGCTCAGAAGTATAATTGATCAAGGAGAATATTTATTGCAGGAGTGCTGCACTTTCTACGACAACTGTACTTCTGAAAGGTTGTATGTAAATCAAATGACTGTAAATTGAATAATTTAAAAGGCATTAGGGGAACTTACTGCTTAAATAAATCCCCTGTGACTCTTCAAATTTAAGAATCCATTTGTAATGCAAAGTATTTATTTTTTCCTTTAAACACCAATGTTTTCCATATTAGGCTTGTTTGCATTGGAGTATACATGTACTGCAGAAAAGACAGTAACTGCCCCACGGCTGTACTTGCTGTCTTCTCTGCTTCAAGCTTTCTAGGTGTTGTGCAGTTGTGCCCACTGGACCAAGGAGTGCTGAGCTCAGATTTCTCTAAGCCTTAATGGATTGTCACATCCTGGAGAGCCCAATGGCCTGGCTCGTCCATTCAAGAACGTTCTTACCTATTCATTCTCACTTACTCCTACCCCTGCGCAATAAAAACATTTCTTATTTGAAAATGTCAGGAGGCACAGTTCTAAACTTCATGCAGGAGCATTTTTTTCCCTACCTTACAAGCTTTCCCTGACTTCTGTTTTTAACTTTTCATGCCCTGTTCTTTTCTTAAAGTACTTACCAAATTTGTAATTATGTATCACCTGTGCACTTCCTGTTTAACGTGTGTCTCCCTCACTAAACTGCAGGCATTGACAATGTCAGTCTGCTCACCACTGTTCACAAAATGCCTAGCATGCAGTCCAGCACATAATAACTTTTTGACCAAAACTGGCTGAGGGAATGAATACGAAAGTTAATACATGGATGGAAGTTAGCCATCTCCCATTTACTTCGTTTTTTGGGAATGGCCCTAACTGAACTAGCTCAGAGCTCTCTCTCCAATCTTCCACTCTCCTTCTTCAGTCTGCTTCAACCCCTGGCTTCTTGAGGATCACTGAATATGCTAAACACTGCTGTTCCCTCTGCCTGGATCCATGTTCCATACTAATGAGACTTACTCCTTCTCATCCTTCTGGCTCTACACACACACACACTTCCTCTGAGAAGCCTTCCTGGACTCCCTATCTAAAGTAACAGCTCCCAACACACCACCTTAGACTTTTGTCTCCACAGTGCTCATCAGTGAACTGTGTGTATTCTGGGTCTTTGTTGACTGTCCCAGCCCCAATATAGAGGCTCTAAGAGGTCACGGACATGGCTTTCTTCTTTTTCTTTTTCTTTTTTTAAGAGTAGAATAATCTGAATATCTTTTTTTAAAAATTGAAGTTGGTATACAATCTTATATTGGTTTCAAATATACAACACACTGGTTCAACAACTATCCACATTATTAAATCCTTACCCCCACTAGTGCAGGTACTATTGGACATGGCTTTCTTATCCTCCATAGTAGGAATAAGAACCATGAAAGGCACAGAGAAAATACTGAATAGTTTTGACAGAAGGAAGAAATATGTTCTCTCTGTTCTTTTCCTTTCTGTTTGTTGTTGATAGTCACACTAATATTATCCATTAGTCATTGCTTGTGACAATAAAAATGCAATTCAATCTAACATTAATATAACTTTACAAAGTACAGTTATTATTCAATAATGATACCTCTATTTTTACTTATTTGTATGTTTAAAATGACATCCTATAATTTCAGAGGATTTCTTTTCAGTGACCTAAAAAATTGGGAAGAATTGGAATCATATTCTCATCACCAATAGCCTAGTATGGAAGACATATTTGTTGAATTTATACCAACCTACTTTTCCTTCTAGCAATGCTAACATCCCTTCTATAACATGGGAAAAAATAAGTTTATGTTCCCTAGGTATTTGATGATATCCTATATTTTATTTGATATTCTTCTTTAAAATTTGATTTGATGTATTCATCTTCCTTAAAGTTTTATTTGGTATAAACCAATAATTTCAGGTAATAAAATTAAATGTGATTTCCTTTGAATGTTTTGTGAGACTCTACTATTCCAAATACTTTAAAAATATTAAGAATATTCATGTGATAGACAACCAATCTTTTTATAAGCAAGATAACTTTCATTTAAAGTTTATATTATAGTTACTTATGATAATGCCTTGTCTCTTTGCCTTCTTAGGTATTTGATTATGATTTTGGACTACAGGATGACTTTATGGGCTCGGCCTTTCTAGATCTCACACAATTGGAGCTACACAGGTAACTTTTGTATTTGTAGTATTACTACACCTTGTTATGAAGTTGGGCCTGTAAAATACAAAATGTCCACAGATCTGAGTCCCTGTCACTGTTCTGTCATTCATAGTTGTGAGCTTTTGTGCTCACCAGCCCTTCTCAGGTACATCTTTCTCATCTACGTAGTGAAAATAATAGCCTCTTCCCTGACTATCTCATTTGACAACTATTCAACAGAAAAACGTTGGATACCTGCTTTACTCCCCAGCACTGCTCTAAGCACCAAGAATCTAGAGATAAAAGACACATTCTTTGCTCTCACTTTGCTGATATGGTGGTAGGGGGGCATAAAGTAGATCATACATGTTAATTGAAAGTATTAATTGAGGAATCAGTCCACCATATAGGAAATAAAACACATGCATTTTGCTTCAAAAATAGCTGCTCTCCTATCACCTGAGCCAAAGTCGAATCTAGTTTTGCCGTCACTGGTAGTCGTGGTACCGAGGAGCGCCTCTAAAGTGGAGGCAGATTGGTTGTGTTTACTCAGTCACAGTAGTTTATCACTGCTTGACTAGTTGTAAAGTTATATAATTATTATTGTATTAATCATGACTTGCACCTAAAAATGGGCTTATATCTTTCTAAAATGCATTTCAACATAGGAGCAAAGAATTAATACTACAGAAGAAAAAATTACATGTCAAAAAGGTCAAGCAGTCTGGAATGGGTCACAAAGGAAGCCATGAAATCTTCTTTTGGTGGTTTTAAGATGTTTTAGATGACCATGGCCACATCATGTGGCAGGAATGTACTGGAAAGCAGGAAAGCAGAATAATGGGCCAGATCATGACTTTATATTTTAAAAGTAGGTGAGATATAAATGGTGGAACCCCCTGCATCATAGTCAGCAAAGTTTGAGCACAGTGGAAGCTTATTGCTCTTCTGATGGTCATTTTTGCCTTGGACTGGACAAAAGAATGGCCTTTTCTGTACATCCTGCACATTCCCCATTGCAACCTAGAGCCTCATGTAGACTTGACCTAGTGATGGAACGTAGGTAATGCTAACTTCCTGCCTCACTGCGGTTGAAGGAAGTGTCCTACCTAGGTGGAGGTGCCTGTAGTCCATTGCCATGGAAACTGAGCTCCAGTAGAAGGGACTGTGTTCTTCTATAAAGACCACAATTATTTTCTTTGTGGACTTACATAAAGAAAGTGGATATACACATTATTGGATTTCATCACAGAGCATAGCTTTCTTTTGTTCTTTATTTAAGATAGATCACTGATGAAAAATAACTTTGCTAAAAAATATGGAATGACTAAGAAAATAAAAATAAATTATATACAGCATTTAGTGTTTATTTTGGCACATTACTCATTTTATGTATTTAGCTACATGTTCCCTCCACTCAAAACCATGTAAACATCAAATTACTACTTTTTAAAATCACATATTTATGTATGTCATTACATTCTATATATTGATCAGTAGTCTCTGGATGTATAATACTAATGGTCATAAAAATACTTATGCTACTATATAATGCATTAAGGTATTACTTTTAAAGAAAAAAATAGATAAGCATCATAAAGTAATTGCAAATATTCTTAAATATTTATCTTGCAATCATTATAAAAAGGTAATGAAGTTTTTCCTATTAATTGTTACATGTAATCATTATAGGAAGATGAACCAAAGCAAACTATAAACCTATATAAAACATGTATGTATATATACTACATACATATATGCTATAATACCATGCATTTGTTAAAAGGAACAAGTAGTTACTATCAAACCATACTGATTAATTGTAACTAAATTAATATTGGAGCAAGTTGCATAACAATCTATTATTATAATAGATATATTGTCAGTCTGATAGGTTGCTTAGGTTCAGTTAAAACCCCTGACAACAGAAAACTATTCATCTTTTCCATAATGTTATTCCTTAACTTGGTAAATTAAGCGTCATGTTACAGAGTTTCCTGGTATTATCATAGTATTAAAAAATACTGTGGTTCTCAATCCTAGCTATATGAGAAAAATCAACTGGGGAGTTTTATAAATATACAGATTTCCAGGCCCTACCCTTGATGTGAAACCAGAATTGAAAATTCTTATTCAGACCAGCTTTTTCCACAAAGCCCTTTCCTTAGTACTACACTCCATTCATATCATTTACTAAAACTTAAGCTCCATGAAGACAAAGATCTTATCTTTGATCATGACCTCTGGTTTTTATGCAGAATCTAGCAGTGTCTGACATTTTATATGTATTTAATTCATGCTTTGTGAATGAAATGAAGGAGTAATTGACTAAATAAGCAAGGGGACATTCCTAATTTGCCAACATTTCAAGATTCAAGCTTGGCACTGAATTTTCTTCAGTCCCTTAGGTTTATGGAGGACATGAATCCCTATTTGTTCAAAATTAATTGAAACATGGAAACAAGATATTACCTCTACATCATCAGCTGAATGTGTATTTTGCATTATTTTCTAAAAGGGATTGTGGATAATAATTGAATAATTCATAATCTTTTCCTCAGAAAAATATATCTAATTCTAAAGCCTTCTAACTATTGATCAACTCAATTCTAAGAATTGATATCCTTTTGATTTTGGATTTATAAGTTTAGGCATAGAAGCATTACTTTAAATGTTGGAAGTTATTTAACATAATTAAACCTTTTTTAAACACATTTATAATATATAATAGGCAACTTGTATTTTATCTTCCTATTCATCTGTTTACTCTGAATCATGCAGTGGTTAATAAGTGACCGTCATTTAGTTGTTGGACTCGAATTTATGGAAAATAGCCCACATTGCTTTCTCTGCTTTTAAGGATCATGGAGGACTTATAAATTCCTCAATACTGTTATAGTTCCTTGGCCTTTCTAGAACCCCACAAAGAACTGAAAATGTATGCAGTGAATCCAGGGGTACCCAATTGGCCCACAATTTATTGGATAACTTAATACATTGACAACATTTCAATAACATAAAAATTATACCAGGTAAGGAAAGGAAGATAAAATTGATTTTCCTCCTAAAAATAACAACTTGCTGATATAAAAAATATTTTTTTGGCTTATTCATTTAATGATGGTTCAAAATCTTAATGTTTTATATCATAGGCCCACAGATGTGACCCTTACACTGAAAGATCCCCATTATCCTGACCATTATCTTGGGATCATTTTGCTCTCAGTCATCCTTACCCCTAAAGAAGGAGAACACAGGGATGTGGTAAGTCCCCCCACGCTTCCTTGCTCTCCCTTGTTCCAATGTTGTGAGCCTTCTGTGAACCCAGTAGTAATAATAAAGAGAAATGGCATATGAAGATCTGGCCCATTCTTTGTTTCTGTGAGTACCCTGGGTATCACTAATCCCTGCATATTGTATCTTTTGAATTTAAATTCCCTGTTCTATGCTCCAGATCAGAACCTCTTGTTGTCAAAAGGGACACATTTGCATCTTTTATTATCATTTCATTTCCCAATTTCAGACATGTTATATTGCAGGCAAAGGGTAGTTTTCACTCAGGGAATACATTTATTAGTGAATTGCATATTTGGAATTCCACATTGAGGTATCTAGACCCTACTATTATTTGACTGTATTGACATAACAAAGAAAATGAGGTGAATTATAAGAGTTTCTGCTTTCTGATATTTGTTTGCTGAATGATATGGGCTTCTGTATCGGTTTTACCCATTTTCTAGCACTGGCTGTCTGTACTTCCTGCACACCAAGCTGTTATGAGAAACTGACAAGGGATACAGAGGAGTTGATTACTCCAGCATGGTTGAAGTAATGTTAAAAAACATCAGATCTGACCCACCTCCTAATGCTTGCAAGTACACTTTCTGCTGCGTTTACCAGAGTTCTTAGACTCAATGTGCTTTCACGTATTGGGAGCTATACTCACCAGTTCTGATTATAACACAGTTTTGGAGCAAATGCAGTTTTTTAGGCAAGTTCAAATACTCTGTTTTGGCAATGTGTATATTGCTGTCTTAAAATAATGCATGATTGAAGTTGGCATACGTTGTCTGCTGGAAAGGTATTATTGAATTTTTCTTCTGGATTGTAGAGAAAAAAGTAAATTCCAACTTCAGATTTAGAAGTGTTTTAAGCTAATTGAAAAGTTCACCCTTTTCAACAAGTATTTTTTGCTGTGCTTTCTAAAAATTAAACAATGAACCCACATATTCATATATAGTATTTGCTAGGTGTGATTTAAGTATCTATGCTTCATTCAGTGAGGAAGAAATTTCTCTTTTCCATCAAGTACTACCAAATAATACCTATTATGAGAACTTAGCATGGAGAAAGAATGCATGTGTGTGTGTGTGTGTGTGTGTGTGTGTGTGTGTGTGTGTGTGTGCGCGCATATACACAGGTCCATGTGTACAGATGGAAGGGTGTGTGAAGTAATTGTTTTACAGAGAATATTCAGAAATATTTAAAATATTCTAATCTTCTAAAAAAATTAGAAGTCACCAATTCAGAATACATTATTTCACCATCACAAGCCAAGGAGTATATCCTAGATGGCTAATCCTTACATAGGAATAAATTATAAATATGCATTTATTGCTTTATTCAAATAATCCTTGTATTCACCAAAAATTTACTATAAGCCAGGTCCTGTGCCACACTCCTTATATAGAGTGGAGAACTTAAGAATCAAATAATTATTGAAGGAAATGTAAAATAACAACTGTTTCAAGTGTCCTGAAAGAGAGGTACATTTTGTTTTAAGAGCAAATGTCATAAAATTAGTTATAGTTGGGGAAACAGGGTTTCTCTAAGAAAGTCAAATGAGAGATGAGGTCTGAAGTGTGAATAGGAATTAGTAAGGCAGAAACCGGAAAGAAAGGAAGTATTTCAAGCAGAGAAAAGAGCACATGCAAAGGCCCTGTGGCTAGAACAACCATTCTTCACCAAGAATTCAAAAAGTACTGGAGCTTAGAGAAGGTGGAAGGAAGCAAAAGAGTGTGAGGGATCATAGTGCCCGATGACAGCGAAAACTGTGTAGGAACTGTTGGCCACGTGAAGGTTTGTGGAGCAATGGTGAGTCTTCAAAAAGTCTGTAAACAGAAAGTGGCATATCATATTTGCTTTTGAAAAAAGCTGTGTAGCTGTACTGTAGAAAACAGATGGAAGAGGAAGTATGGATGGTTGGAGACCAATGAGGAGGCTATTTCAAAAATCCTGGTGGAATATGATGGAGGTTTGGATGAGAATGGCCAGAGGTAGAGATGGAGAGAAATTGGCAGGTTTACCTACAGGATGTAAAGTCAGTAAAACTTGGTGACAGAATGTTTTTGATTTGGGATTCACCATTACTTTAATGAAAAGCAACACTTCATAAATGAGAATACCTAAGTGCCTGAGGTCTTGTGTATCCCCGAGCCCTCCAAATGGCAGTATTCTTGGAGATTGGAATGATACAGGTGACCGGATGATTTGAGACAGAGGTTCTACTGAATTCTTACATTAAAGGGATGTTAAAGTTATATATTCTAACGTCAAACCAAGTGTTTGAGGGATCAGGTTAGTTTCAAGAGACCTAGTGATGAATCTGCTGAATTATTTTAAGTTACACAGACATACAAGTCAGCACAGGCAAAGTGGTTCCAACATCATTTTTTCTTCAACAACTCTTGCAAGCATCCCTCAATCTCCATAGCTGCTCAGTCATATTATTTAGGTACAATGTCTAATTAGAACAAATCACTTAAAAATATTACAGTACCTGGTTGCTGATTATCAGTGATTTATCAAACATGAATAGTGAAGAACACAGGTGGGTTACCTGAAACAGTTACACATCAGAAATCCGGTATTATTCATCCCCTTTTCTCCCTTTTCCTTTCTTCTCATGGTATCCTGGTATCTCTCCAGCCACATTCACCCTTAACACAAAGAGTTCTTCCTGAAATCTTCATGCTGTTTTCTTGATTCAAATCCATTTGGCTACATGAGCTTTTGGGAAGAAATCATTTACTGCCAAGTATTTTTCATTCCCTGCCTTGCTTCATGCCCTCCCACTTCAGAGTCCCAAGTAGCACTGGATTCATTCTGCTGCAGCAACTGAAAAACAGTGTCTTCTTTCCTCCCATACTTAACATTAACTCTCACCTGGTTTCTGTCTTCTTTGCCAGAGAAGCAAGTGGCTTATCCAGGACTCAGTGCCTCAGAAAAGGCTCACCAGGTGCAGCCTACATAAGAGCCAGCCTCTGGCTGTGAGCATCCTGACCTCAGTCACCCCAGAGGGGCAGAAGGAAGGGTGCTGTGGGGGTGATCAGAAGCAAGCAGGGCTGGGGACAGGAGAGGAAGTACAGAAGATCCCCTGTGGAAAATTCTATTGGGATCCCCAGTATTTTGGCTGGTTTGATGTCCTATATTTGAATCAGATTTCTAGGCATATGTTTTAAATGACATCCAACAAAGACATATACATTTGCTTTTTGTTTGTTTGTTTTGGTCTATAAGTTCTATACCTATGAAGATGTCTAAAACTGTCAAAGACACTAGTTAGTAGATTTTGAAACCAAACAAGGACCATTTATTCATTAGCAGCTATTAAAAAAAGAAGCACTTTTTCATCTATAAACATTGTGCCAGTTTCTATAACTCTCTGTTGTTCTTCTAAGTGTTCAGGATCTGTGGTTACATCTTTGATTAAATGGAAACTCCTAATAAAGGACTTTAAGGCTCTCCAATAAGCAACCTATGTTCCTTCTCTTGTAAGCTCTGTCCCAGCCATGCAAACTCCTGCACCATTCCCCTCCGATAAGCCCCAGGTTTCTGCAGTGTAACCTGTCCTATCCAAAATATACCTATACTACACTTTAGCCCACCTCCGCATTAAGTCCTATCTCTCCCAGTAAAAAAAAATGTGTATGTAAATTATTGTTTCTGATTGCCTTTCTTGTGATGACTCCTCTCAATAGTCCAACTTTTCAGTGCCTAGTGTTTGTTCAATGGGTTGTAGACACATCTCTATGAGGGTTTGTAGAGGTATCTCAGAGGTCTAGGGGGATGGTATTTCAGGGTTTTTTTCCTTCAATATTCAAATCCCCAAGATTGTCACAAACAGTGTTAAATAATGGTTTAATTTTCCTTTTAAATTGTCAAAATTTATATATTAATGATAATATGCTTAAAATCAGCCTGAATTGATCTTTTCAAGATTTCTAATAACCACAGTGAATTGGAGACATATCATTGCATTTTCTTCATTTTGTAACATGTCTACTGTTAGCTAAATACATGTCCCTGGAACACATTTGAAGTTTCTTGGTTAAAAATAACCAGAGATCCAATGTGTCTTCAAATTAAATTTTTATATGCCTGAAATACATAACTTATTGCTGCAGTGAAAATGCAATGCTGAACTTTCACAAATTATCCCAGAACAAATCTTATTTAGGAAATTCAGACTCAAAATGCATTAAACAAGAAATCAGTTACTAAATACTTTAGAGTTCCATTTAATATTCAGAATGATGTATAGGAAAGGAATAGAGAATTATTTTGCATTGATTCTTACACAATAAAATTCTAAGAGTTCTGTTCTCTTTTCTTATTAGCACAGAAATCATCTATTTTAAGGTTTTGGGACTTAAGATTTTAGTTCAGAAACCACATGTTTTTTCTTATGCCTGTATTTATAACTTTGCTAAATATTTTATGTGTATTAAAGTGGAGAATGGAAGATAGGAGTTTCAAGAGCCATTAACAAGTAAACCCTAATAATCAAATAGGCAATAGAACATTAATGTTAAGAAAATGCTATCAAAAGTAGGAGGAAGTGAGTAACTGGAAATACAGAGAACTTGGTGTTATATAATCACAAAGTGCTAACATTTCCAAATCAGTTATCTTGTGAATTGTTTATACACTGTTAATACTGGCAATACATTCCATGCATAATGCAGTTGGGATGATTCTTCCTTGTGTGGATTGCCAGTTCTGGAAATCAGCAAAACTGAAGAATGAGTTGAAAAACCTATCAGCCTACAGACTCTACTAAAGCCTCAAAATATGCAGTGTTTGATTACAGCAATTTAAGAAGTATAGTATGAGTAATAGCCAAAGTATTTCATCGTTGCTTATATTAAAATCTTCTCCCATTAAGTCATGTTTGAGTCTTCAAAAAAAATCCCAGATGTGACTATATATATATATACACACACATACACACACACACACACACACACACATATATATACACACACACACATAAACAGACATATATATATATATTTTTAAGTTTCCAGCATTATGTGTATGAGAAACAAAAACCTTCATGTGGGGGTATTGGGAGGCATGCTGATGAGCTGTATGACAAAACTGTCATTTCTGTTTTGAACACATGTCCTGTTGTACCTGTAGAAGTGTGTAGTGCATACATGTATGTCCTATATATGGTCTGATAGTGTGTTTGAGTTCTTTCTGGCTCTTTTTCTAGCAGAGTTCAATCCACAGCTTTCTTCATTGGAGAATTTGTGAAATAAAAGTGAGTTAACTTGTGTTACACACTCTCTTAGATAACCTAGACCTACAAATTGCTCGACTAAAGCTTAAAAACAGAAAATTCTAAGAAACATATGAATTGAATTTTGTTGGCCTTTAGTGAATGAAAAAAAAAGTATTTTTTTATGTTGGTTTATTTTTGAAACTTTTCTGAATTATTCCATAGCTGACATTTGAAAAAATAGCCACCAAAAAAAACTTAATATATATGTTTTGTAATATGTATGCATTATAATATCTAGCCATTCTGTCCTTTTCTATATCTATAATAACCATGTAATTGCCTTAGAAAATCATTATAACAAAAGATAAAAGCAAAAAATGGATTGAGATTGTGGAATCTTTTAAAAATATTTTCAGTTCAGCAGTTCTGTCACAGGCCATATTTTTAGGCTGATTATTCCTTTTATTGGCTTCAAAGAAAGTTGAACTGCCAATCAAGAATTTGAATTATGCTCTAATAATATTAGAAAATTACACTTTCAAAAAAAATTCATATGTTTCTCAGATGAAGTTAAGACCATAGAGCAAGAAAATAAATCTTATTTTTCTATAATTTGCTTTATTGCCTATTTTTAACATTCCCCAAACAATCTTTCTTCCCTAACATGTCTCACAGATAGCAAAGGTAATAATAGTATTAATAACATGTTACATCCACCTTTTTTCTTTGTTTGTTTACTTTGCTACTGTTTCCAGTTTTACTGACTCTACCTTAATCCAACCATCTAAAAAAGAAAAAGAGACTTGGAAATGGGATATTAAAACCCATTGCTTAGCTAGCTGGTTTGGCCCAAGAAGCAGAAATTTTGTTATAAAATCTAGGGCCATTTTGAGAGTCACTGAATCTAATAAAAGGACTCTGGAAACTGAAACAGGAAAATTATGAATTGGTTCCAATAACTGACAAATCTTCCGTATTTATACTTGGGGAAATCACTGACTTTTTGTATCAGTGTCCCAATATGAAAACTTATATTATGCGGCCTGTTTACAAAGCCAGTTTTGAGAGACAGGAGAAATACCAACCCTATAGTTTGCTTTGTAAAGAGAAGATTAATTGCATGCAGTGGTTCTGAGTCAGGGGAAGTGCTTTGACCAGCAGTAGTGAATCTGTATAGTACAGAGCAGGATTGTCTTGAGATAAAACTCTTCTATTCTTAGCCCCTTTTTTGTAGTTAACATTTCTACTAGAATGCAATTTTATAAGATTCCTAGATACTAGATGATGATGATGAATGGCCATGAGTTAAGAGATTCTACTTTTTCATTTATCTTAATTTTTCTCACTTGATTTGACTCAACGCATTGTTCCTAGGAGATACCATTCTTTCTTCATTGAAACTCTACTTCCTGAGAAAGTTGAACATTTATTGTCTGATTCCAAATAGGGCAGTTTGGGGGAATATGGCATACTACAAAAATATTTGGCTTCCAGTTACCTTTTGGTGAGAATGGAGAAAGTGGTGGTGGCGATGACAACGACTCATTTAACATCAAGAAGAAACGTTTATTACATGTCCATTCCACGACCATCTTCACAGCCCAGTGCTGGGTTTGTTGCTTCAAAATGAAATGGACATTAGTACTTAGAAAGCATACGAAATATTTCTGTCAGAGTATTTTCTGACAGTACTTTGCAGTTTCCTGTCTCCATTCAAAAAAATATAGGGAATTATTGTAATCTTAAGAAATCTATTACTCTGCCATATTTCAGCCAATATTTAATGCAAAGAGTATATAGAGAAACTAGAAGCTATAAAACCATTATCTACAGAAAAGAGGAATGTATCCTTATATCTGACAGTTCTATGACTTTCTCATTTCCTACCCTAGAACCATGACCTGATTCCACTGTCTTGGTTTAAGCCAAAGGTTGCCTTCTATATGACTTAATCCTATATTAAAATCTGTCTTTTTGTATTTTGTAATTTATGAGTGGTTTCTGAAATAGTCCTGTGTTCTAGTGAATTCTGCTGAAGTAAATGTAATTCTTAAGGCACCAATGCACTTTCTTGATATACAAATGTGGCAAGCATTTCTATTAGATATATTAGATATATTCTTTGCCCCAAATATACCCTATTCTCCACTTCTTCTGCCTTAAAGATAATGATAAAGTTAAGTGAGAGCAAAGAGGTTAATCAGGAAGTTAATACATTGAGAAATTTTTTAAACCAGGGAGGAAATAAAAAATTGTTGGATTTTTATGACTTACTTTATGCAAGAAACCAATGATCTTGAGCCCTCTTCACAAATCTCCATTGACCTTAGTTAAAACTTGTAACCATAAATACCTCTGACTATCATGCCCCCAAAAACATAATTTAAAGGATATGCTATGGCTAAACATTGAGCAGGAAGATCCACTAAAAGCCATCACAATATGCAGCACTTTTTTCTCTATTGAAACACATATGCAGCACTTTTTTCTGTATTTGTAGACCCTGATGTAATTAAAAGTGAACTAGAAGCAGAGACAATTCTAAGAGGCCATCAAAGCAAAAGACTGAATATCTTTTGAAGAGAAAAGTTATTATATATCTAGTGAAGTCATGGTACTTCCTTAACTTCCACAACCAGTAGAAACAATCACCAACCATGAGACACAATGTGTTTTTTTCAAATTTCCCATCCCATTTCTTCGTACAAAAGAATGAAGCAAATGAACTCTCACCAGAAAGACTGCTTGAATGTTAAAGGTGCTTCTTCTTGATATGTGTACCTGAAAAACAGTTTTTGTCTTGCATAATTGTTGCTGGAAACTGTTTTCTGTTTACATGTTAAGCTTCCTCTAGAAAACAATTGGCCACCCTGTTCTCTACTTGAGTGATAAGATAATGAAAATGGTTAATTTCATTTACTGACAATGCTAATGAGGAAGAGTTGGAAAAGATCAAGTAAGGTAATGCTTAGCATGCGATCTTTCAGCTTTTCTTGTTGAGAAGAACTATCAGCTGCTTTCCCAAATCTCTCATATCTCTTCAAACTATATCACAGGACTTCATCACTCTTCAGCTGTTATTTTTTTCCCCATAAACATTAATCAAACCATGTGATGCTTTTTAAGTAAATAGAAATCACACTGATCGGTCACATCCAAATCACCCTCCTGCTAATCTCTGGTCACTTATCAGCATCATTCTCAGCATATGGTTTCTGGTATATGTACCACAGGGTCTAGAAAATATCTTTGCTCCAGATCAGGAGTAAAATGATGAGACTAGAGTAAGAACAACTCCAGAGCAAACAAAGATCCGTGTAACTTACTGTCTTTGTGTACTGAAAATTGAGTCTGAGATTTTCCTAAATAAAAATATTTTCTGTATTGCTACATCTTTGGAGTATAATGAAAAACAATTTTCTATCATTTCCTCTTCTCACTTCCAAGAAATAAATGGCTCTTGAGAGCGAGAGGAGTATATAGTTGCTGTGACTTGTTGAGCCCTGGCTCTACCTTTATAATTTGTAGAATATATGATATAAACTAAACTTCTACTTTGTTCAGTAGTAGTACACTCTTGGATACAAATATCAAGATGAAACTGATGTTTATATGAAATCTCCTTGAAATAAATCAAAGACGTTTTATTTGTAAAAATCTTGTTTTCTCAAATTTCTTTTTAAAAAGTCAGAATTCCTCTTTAATAGTAACTAATTTTTTTAGACCCTGGATCATGGCAGTCATTTTTTCTTCCATTCTGATTGAATCATGCTATAATGTTTTTCTTTAATGTTGTCATTGTTTTTTATTGTGAATCAAGAACATACTTCCATCAAAATATTTTTGTATTTATGGTAATGTATTGATTTGCTTTAACAAGTATTTCTTACTTTATAGTTTCTTCCCAAATCTTGTAGAGTTAGACCAAAAGATAATTTGGCTCACAAAAAGTTCAGGGCCACACTGAAAATCACCTGTGTCATTTTAATAAAATGAAAAACATTTTTTAAGGCTAATTGCTGAATATTTCTGTCTTAGTGTTCACTGTGTTTTTGACTGGCCAGAATTAAGTTTTAAGACATCTTAAAGAAATGTTGCATTGTCTATACTTGCATTACACTTTTTTCTTTGTACTTGTACATCAAAATTAGTGCAATATTAGAAGTAGTTACTTTTAAAAATTCATGTAAGTTGGCTTTCCTCATTTTGTGTCTATGTGTAAAAACATTTGAGTCCATTAACATGTAGCAATATTCTCTCTTTCAGATGTTTATAAGATGTAATGCTAAAGCAGGATATTTATATTATATAGTATTTAGTATTGATTAGTGAGAATAATCATTTTTTTATAGTAAGAAGGAATAAATATATGAATTTTCTTTAAATAATTTATATTTTTAATTTTAATGATAAGTAAACATAAATCCATATCTTTTCCTTAGGTCTACAAAAAAATTAAAAATCAACAGCAAGCACCTATTCAACACTATTTTTGTATCTAACATTATTGGAGTTTTTATCTATTATTAATAATCTTATTCTGCATTCATTCTGGCACATTTATTGGCTTGCCACTGAAGATACAGAATTCCCTGTGTTTAACTCTACACTTATTGGGATACTTGGCGGATTATTTTTAGTGGGTATGGTAATATGGCATTGGGTGTTTTGCCTAAGGGATTTCCAATTTTATAAAATTTAATGGGGAAATTAATTGAGTGCTGAGTAAAGAAAATCAGTTAACCCATTAATTTTTTTCTATGCGAATATACAGAACACCTCACAAGTGATCAAATTATCATTGTCCTCTAAAACATTTGCCATATTCGTCCATACTAGTATTACAGGAGCAGAGTGTCCAATTCAAAATCCAGGGAAAGTTTGAAACTTCAGTTACCACCTAGTCTGCCAACCTCCACACATACTTAAACTGCTTCCCCAATTCTTTCCTCCAGGATTAAATGAGAAAAAGTGATGCCCAAGTAAATTACGCATCTTGAGAGACTAAAGGATAAGGGACTGTAGCATGTAGTTTTATATATTACCATGTAACTGTTTTGTGAAAATGTATCTCTAACTATTTCAATCTTCCTCTTAAAGATTATTGTAAGATTTTCCTCTTATCTTTAGAAAAAGGATATAATTTATAGGCAGTTGCATTTAAATACAGGTATATCTGACATAACTATGCTCAAAGTCGAAGTTGAAGTTTGCAAATAAACATGTTATTTTCTTCTTTGAAATCTTGATTTACAGGAATGAGAGCTCCTGCTTTTTTAAAAATTGAAGTACAGTTGACATTCAGTATTAGATTAGTTTCAGGTGTACAACATGGTGATACAACAATTACATACATTACAAAATGCTCACCACAGTAAGTGTAGTTATCATCTGTCACCAAAGTTATTACAATATTATTGACTATACTCCCTATGCTGTACTTTCATCCTGTGACTTATTTATTTTAAGTTTGTACTTCTTTATCTCCTTCACCTATTTTTACTCAACCTCCTCATCCCCCTCCCCTCTGGCAACCACCAGTTTGTGCTCTGTATTCAGGAGTCTATTTCTGGTATTTTTTATAACAGGGCTTTGATATGCAGCCTTTGAGCACCAGTGGTGAATGTAAATCTGAAAATTATAAACTTTGTGGCAAAGACAAATATAGTCAGATAATGTTGTTAGGTATTGTCTACAGTATGGAGTTTATGTTTTTCTTCCTTTCCTTGGGTTTTTCAAAAGTGGTATAACCATGAAGGGGAAAAGCTAAACTGACATGCTATTTTTTTAACATGCACATCTCCCCTATATACAAATGAATCAACTCAAGAAATTTTCTATTACTTAAATATCTACTCATCATCTTCATTGTCTAGCCAAAAAGAGATTCTTTCAGTTGAAACCTAAGTATTTGTGTCACTCATATAATGTGAGGTTGTCTTTACTCTTAAAAACAAGAGATGAATAGCCAACTCGAGGACAGGGAAGTTATAATTGCTGTTCAGGACCGACTTGCATATTATCTGGAGTAAATGTGTTACCACCTAATAATGAGTAGGAAAAAAATCCACGTAGACTTACCTCTGAATGGCAAGAATATATAAAATATGTGCTATATTTGAATGATGTGTTAACCAGTTAACAGTCATGGATTCCATAATACATCCTCCTTTGGCATGGTAACATCCTTTAAAACACTCATTCTGTTTTTCCATAGCACACTTTCCAGCTTGCACATTTTTAGTTCTGCCTTACACTCAACTAGGAAAATGTTATTTTAAGAAGAAAGGGATTGATCTCTCCCTAAGCTTGGGCAATGGGATAATTATCCTGGTCAAAGAGTTATACTTATGTGACAAAATAACGTTTTGGCAGAGAAGTGGTAATGCTTTGAGATACTGCAATATTTTATTCTTTAGAAGAAGCTTATCATTGATAATTTATTCTAAGGTTAAATTATTCAACAAGAAAGTTTCACAGGCTCAGAAGAGAAGATGTATATGTATTTTGTGAATAAATTTGGTGAGGTCAAACAAAAAAGTAATAAGATAACTGCCTCTATTAGATGGTAAGCAAATATGATTTTACCCTCATTGTGGGTGTGTGTTTTAGTGTAGAAGAATGAGTTTGTCAATGGGTGTGATTAAACTTATGTGTTTTCAATTATCACCTTAATTATATGAGAAATAACCATTGCAGTAATAGAAAGATATACATCTTGCAGTTCATAAAAACAGTTTAGACTTGTTTTAAGAAGAGTTCATCCTTTGAATAATATAAAATAGACTATGTGATCATGTCTTATTAGCATATCTTCTGTAACTTGATGGCTTATTTTTTTAGTACTGTATCTTTTTACAAAGATTTTATTATAATCTCTTAGCATAATTTTAATGAACTATAAAAGACTTTATTCACTGGTTTAATGAAGCAGTTTTTAATAAGATTTTTCGTGAGGATATTGTTAATTTAAACTACAGAATACTTTCAACTCTGTAAGTCTGCAGGGCATAGTTAAACCTGACATCTTAGATGACACATTAAAAATGCATAAATGAAAACCTCTAAGTGCTTTAATTTAAGAAACAGTAGAAAAACAGATTAACACATTTTTAAGTATCTCACACAGTCATTCAGACATAGTGAAAAAAGTCATTATTTTAACAGTTGTTAGGTCCTTTCTACAAAGACCTCATATCCTGATAATAAATAGATGATTTTTTAAAAGCTGCAAAGAAAGGAAAACTTTAGTGGCCACTGACTCTTTCACCTGTAAGTGACCAAAAGGATTTTCTTTGGTGGCTCATTTCATTTTATTAGACATATGCCTCTGAAAATATTAATGTTTACATGATTTTAAAGGAAATATACAAAATTCTTTTAAAAGTCCTTGCTTTGCCGCTGTTTATATTCCCAAATCCATGTTATTTGGAAATGCTATAAAATCAGCCTCATAATTAAGGCTTCTGAGATTTCAAAATCCAACAGTAAACCTAAGATGAATAGTATGAACATTTCTATTACAAAGGATTTTATTTTTACCTCCATTAAGTGAACTCCTAAAAGTTTGTTTAAAATAGAGATACCATAATGCCAATAAATATTTTATTATCCCCACAAAATACATGGAGCCATAATTAAATTTTATGTTGAGATGATATTTTTGTGCTGCTTTTCACAATATTTTTCTGATAGGTATAAAATATCATGCATTTTTATGTATTGTAATTTGTAACTACAGGGATTTGCTCTAACAACAGCATTACATTTATTCAACTGCTCTTGTTGAATTTTTAAAAAGTTGTGGGTCCTTCAGGGAGCAAATCTGGATGAGTTGGCACAACGTGAAAGGACAAAATGTAATCTCAAGCAGAGGATGGATTCCCTAATGCCTGTGTGCTAGCCTGTAGATGTTAATTGTGGTGTTGGTGATTGGCCTTCACATTGCTAATATGTATTACCCAGTGAGCTGATGGTTTCCCATGACCCTTTCTGAGCTGATCAAAGGGACTGGGCTTGGCTTCAGGATAGTGTGTATGTACCTCAGATATATATATATATATATACACACACATATATAAAAAACATATGACTATATGTTATACATGTATATATATATGTTGCATTGAGTGTGAACTGGGAGGAGATTTATTGGTTTTAAAATCCTCTAAATGTCACAATGAAAATATATCATAATTACATGAGGACTCTGCTTTCAAAGCCCTGGTTGATAATAATATATACACATACATACATGTATTTATGCATACATATACACAAACACACATACGTACACACACTAACATACTCAGATAAAAGATTTAAGGTAAAATGTATAGAAAAATAAAAGACAAAGCAATGCCAGGCTTCAGTTATAGGGCAGGTCCTCTGGGGAGCTGAAATTCTCTCTTCAGCAGTATTTAAAGGACAGTTGGAGTTGCAGAGGGAATCAAATTTATGTTTAATGAGTATAAATGATATGAACACCTATTTGAATAACCAAGAAAACAGGATAATGGCATTTCAGTGTGAATTTCTACTTATTTCATGTCCCTGTTTTCAATTACATTAAGTATCTATAGGCTTGTGAGTTTGATAGAAGTACCCAAGAGCCATAACTTTGATAAACAGTGATCTCAGTCTGACCAGGAAACTACAAAAATTATTTACTTATGAAATTATTTATTTTTTACCTCTTAAGTGCCTATGTATTGATAAAAAGAAGTTGTACACCTATAAAAACTTGTTGTGTAGGAAGAATGCTGCCTGGCTTGACTTTCACATTTGGTCCTCAGGCTTCACAATTACAAATCCCTTGTGAATGTTTTAAGCATTGAAAAATTGCTGAATAATAATACATGCCATGTGTTTAAAGTCTTGTATATATTCAGGCTAATAAAATATCATTTTTAATAAAAGTTTAGTACCTAAACCTTGTTATCTGATGGCAGTGTCCTTAAAGAGTTCTGTGATTTATATAGATAGCTGAAAAATAGCATCATATTCATTTGTTAGGGGGGAAAAATGAACTATCCTTTAATTTTATATCTCCAAGAAAAAAGAATCTCTTCTAGATTTTTAAAATATGAAATCTCATTAATTTTTGGATTCACAGGATTTTTGATCTCTGAGGAGAGATGTTCTTAGTGTGTGTTGGTGTTTTGGAGGCAAAAACAGATTTAGTAAGATATTACCAATGGATCTTGCTACTTTAACAAATTCAAAACCCCTGCAGAAATAGTTAAACAATTTATTGTTCAGAATAACTTCAGTTATTTTACTTTATCAATTTGATGTCTCTCTTTTTTGTTCTGTTTCTTTTTGCTGTTACTTTATAATTTTAGCACTCTTAAAATGGCATGTGCCCTCACTTACCAAGGTCTTGTCTTGATGGAGAATGAAATGTAACTAAATGTCTGTACATATGATTTAAGACAAGTCTCCTCTAGCATTCATGAATAGTTTACTCTGTCTTACTTGCCCTCCATAAAAAAAAAAATCACTTGTGTTTATAGCTATTATCATAATGCCTGGTGTTTTATTGTTGTTATTGTTATGATTAGAACCTTTAGGGAAAAAAAGGCCTTTGCTAGTCTGCTGGAGCTTTTTTAGTATTCATCAGAACAATAAATGACATAAGAGTCCACAGAAAATTTAAATTGTTTCATTTGAAATAAAGGCCTAAATGTACATGTGAATTTATGTTGTAAAGTAAAATAGAAATTTTAGTTGATGAATAATGACAGAAGTAATTAAACATGGCATGAAAAGCATAGCCTAGGGACTTGAGTGGATCGAAATGTGGTTAATATTTTTGTTTCTCAAATTTTAACAGAAATGCCTAAGTTCCAAATCTTGATTATTAAAATCACTTCCAAAATATTCATCAATCCTCTTTTGCTCTTTGCATACTAGTCACATAGTGAGGTCATTACCCTCTGTGTTCATCCAAGAAAGAATGAAAAGTATGGAGTTGGTGCAGTTTCATTACTAGTCAAGTGAGACCACCAAAACTTCAGTGAATTAACAAGGCTTTAAAATGCCAAATGGTTGTCATATTTGTTGTAACTATCTTGAGTCTAGAATCAAGATTTTTCACATCTATTTAAGTGGCCTTAACACATTTTACATTAAGATAAAACTCACTGTTAGTTGTATAATTTGTGTTATTAACTCTGGGGAAATTATTTGTATAAGGAGACTTTGAGCAATAATCTCTTCAATATGATGCTTTAAAATTTTTCTACATGTTGTGAAACATGCTACTAAAGAACTGGGAATCACAGAAAGAAAAGAATTGGCAATAGAAAAAGAAAACATTCATCTTTTCTAAAACTACAATAAGGTTTTTTGAGTTAAACAATACTATAGAGAAAAAAGACTGCAATTATTCCATCTAAGGTTTGTGCCCAATGTCCAATGTAAGTGTACTTTCTAAGATTTTTTTTTTTAGAAATTGATGTGACAATGTGCAGTGACACATAAGAACCATAGCTATAAATGTAAATGAGTTATAACTGTATAGTGATGGTAAAACTATGTCTTAAACTCAAGACTTTCCCCTGATGGCCTCTGTTATTAGTCATGCTACCTGATCAAACCCTGTGCGAATAACTTAGGGGAATGTAATTGGTTTCATTAAGCAACAGATTTCATGTAAAAAACACAGGTAGGTTCCATAGATAATTTGTGATGTAATTCTATTTCTAACCTTAAATTACTCAAATTGCTGTACACCCTAAAGTACTTTACTTTATTATTATCTTCCCATGTGATTTTTGGGATCACAGTTGGAAAGAATATATGTATCTTTAACCAGTGAAACCCCAAGTGACTAACAGCCAATCAATGAGTATTTATTTAGCACCTACTCTATATTAGGTATCATGTGAGGTGCTGGACCACTGCTATATTAGTTGCTAACACAAAATCATAGAATAAGTAAATAAATTACAAAACTGCTTCCTTTTCATCACATTCTCAAAGGTGTGTATTTTCCCATAGCTGTCACCAGTTTCCCATTTTACCTAAAATGGCACCCAGATGTCAGGATGCAAAGCATTAATGTTTAAAGGATGTAATTTAAATGTTCTCTTTAAAAGTGAGTAGCTATGTTTTTTATTTCCTAAAGTGTCATTGGTTTCACTTTACAAAAGTCTGAGGATAATGTAATAAAATATCCAACATGGATCGATCATTTTGTTTTCAGCTCAGTAGCCCCCTTTCTTAGTATTCATTTCTTTTTAAAATTATCTTTGGGGAGCTTGAGTTAACTAAGTCATCTATTTTATGTATTTACATAAAATACATTTGTATCATAAAACTAGGAAATTCTTAGTAAGGAATTAAACCAAATTTTGACTAAATGTGTATTTACAAATAAGATTTCTGCTATCATTCTTCAAAAATTCTTTGAAGTTCGGTAGTATTGAATTGTTTTGTGAAACAGAACAGGTATTTGGCTTATTTCAAAATCTTAAAATATATTTAAACAGTTCTACTTTATAAAATAAAGTGTTAGACTCCAAAATATATTAATCAACAATTGAAAATAAAGAGGTAAGTAGACTTGTAAAAAATTACAGAAATAACCCTCTCTGAACTTTACGATCATTGATGTCAGATATAAATAAGACAAAAACTTCAATTTATCCAAGGGAATAAAAGTTACAGTTTATAAACATCCGAAGTGTCTTCAGAATGTCTAATTTGGGGGTTTTGTTTTGATTTTGTTTGGCTAATTACATTTTCTCAAAACACCTCAAGGTTAGCTAAATATTTGTTTGTTTTTAGGAGCTCTCAGAAAATGAAGCAGTCGGATCTTATTTTTCTGTGAAGTCTTTCTGTTGGAGGGTAATGTCTAAATCCTTTATGTTACTATTCTTGACTTGGGGCTCTAGTAACTTTGAAAGTTATATGTGAATTAAGAAATTCACTTTTTAAAATAGGCTCTCCGAGAGATGTATTCATTTGCCTCCTCTATTTGAAGTCATTTAGGTGGCTGACTCTTTCATTTCTTAATTTATAAAAACAAAGAACTTCATGTATTTCGTGCATTGCCTTGAAGTCATTTCCTTTTGGAACTGAATTTATCCCAAATTCTTAACAGCTAGAGGCCTAGAACGTGCCAGGAATAGGATGGGTCCATTAAGACTTATCTAGAGGGCCTGTTAAGGTCTTTTTTTCCCTTCTTGTAAAATCTGCTCCATTGTTTGAGAAAAATTTCTTTCTATAACGTGATCTTTTGCTATATACATACTAAATAATCAGTGTTCTTTCTTTTAAAAAAAAATCCCATGAATTAGAAAACGGCAGCTCTGCTTTGGATTTAAATGTAAAAAATTGAAGGTTCCACAGAGAATTTGTTTTAAATGCTATTGCAATGCAATGTTATTTACTCTTCATGATGTAAGCATAATGAGCTCTGCCATCCATTTTCTCTGCTGTAACTCTGCATTATGCACAGTAATTCATCACTAAGGCACTTACTGATTTGCCTTCAAGTTTCCCACTTTCTTTGAAAATTCACACTCGGCACATGATTACCTAGCAATGGATACTCAATGAAAACGCTACACTCACAGGGCTTTGCCATTTTCTTTTCTTGGCTCTTACCCTGCTCATGACCAAAAACTATCTTTCTCCTTTAGGACTGTGTCTCTTAAGCAGACTGGCAGGTACTAGATTAAGTCACGCATTTACTTGACCAGTGAGCAAGTGTAAACCACACCCATTCATCTTCTGACCTCTCTGCATACACTTTTTTTTGCAACCTTTTATTGTTGTGAGCTTATTTTAATTATCACAACCTCTTTATGTCCTTTCAGTCTACTGACAGCTGCCTTCACTAATGTTATTCTGTATCTGTGAAAAAATAATAACTCATCTTCTATGTCCATGCATTATCCATGATCACATGGAGCGATTGCATTTGAATTGTTCCATTCCTTAAGTGGAAAATGGCTTTTTGTAAAAGTTTTGTCTCTATTTTCTTAAGATGCACAAATATGATGAATTCATATAGTATACTCCTTTGCTCAGAGAGCAGAATTCAGGGGTATTCTGTGTTGAGTTTGTTCTATATGCAGCAAATGTACAGACCCAGCATTAGAAATGAAGACTTGTCACTGGGACCAACTGCCTAAGTAATACTTTTTAGTGGTTTCCCTTTCCAATGACTCTTTCAACATCTTCCTTCCACTTTGCTGCTTCCAACTTAGTCTTTCACTTATCAGTACTTTCCATTTGGTTGTATTCTTCCTTACATATTCATTATTAACCTTTCTCAATCTCTTGAATCCATCTTATTATAGAATAACAAATATGCAAATTTAAAAGATAGCTTTTTCTGTATCTGAGGTACAGTTGGTATAATATCTTTTTTCTGAACATATGTTGAGTGACAAACAGGTTGAGTCATAAAGGCAGAACCTTTAGAGGTCACTTATTTTACCATCAAGGAAACTAAGGCCCAGAGAAGTGATAGCATGATCAGTACCAATACTTTGCTCTCGCTGAAGGTCATGGAAATACATGTTTTTGTGGAGACTTAAAGCAGCAGAGTTCCTTTCTGAACTGCTAAATAGAAAGATAATGTATGTGAACTGCCCCTTAGTTTGTCTTTATTGACACCCCTTCAGACTCTTTTGCATGTATGTGGCCCTTCACAGCTCTTTAAGCCACCAGTGGATGTGTGTGTTTGAGGGCCCATTTGACAAATTCAGAAAGTCAGTGACCAAATCTGCTTTGGATGAGTATGATCTTTAATATCCACATTCAAGGGTCACTCTGATAATCAACTGCATTGCTCTTTGCCCAGGCAATACTTGTATTCTGATGATCTTTTAGAAGTGGTATAAACAGAAGGAGTTTTCCCATAGACATTTTCAGATGGGCAGAAAACCTAAATAGCTCAGACACAATCTTAGATGAAGAGTTATGAGCACTGTGTGAGTTTAACAGGATGTGATTTGAAAGAAAAATTTATCAGGATATTTATAAGGATTAATACATGTATCCAGGAGATAGCAACTGAGTAACACTGAGTGAAATGAAATCCTGGCGAGAACTTGCTCAGTGAATATTGGTGCTACTTGCTGTATCTTAATTTTCTTGAGAACAAAATAAGACTGAAGTGATACAGGGATTAATTTTTCAAAAGCATAACATAATTCATCAAAACTTGCTATCTTAGGCCACAGAACATTAAGCAATGAGTATGGCAATTACCATGTTCTTCATGAAAGTAATAAAAATTACGTGAAGCCAGTTGGATTTCTCTTAAGTCAGAATTAAAGACTTTTAACTTCCCACTAAAGAATGGTAACTCAGTGCAGTGTTTTTCAGATATTTAATACATTTAAGTTAGTTTCCAATTATCTTCTTGACTAGACTTTTAGATTTTGATGACTGAGAGTTAATAGAACCAACCATCTTATAAGAACACTGTAGTGAATTAAAGAGAAAATTTAATATTGTTTACATAGTGAAGGCTGGTCTACACCAAGATAGCTTATATAAAAAGTGGAGAAATGGGTCATAATATAAAATGAACAAAACAAGTGCGTAGAATACAGAACAATTAGTTTTACCAAGGTATTACCCTAGGGTCAAATAAAGGTGAGTTTGGAGGAGGACCCTGCAGACCCAAGAGAAGAGGGATTGGGTTTGTAAAACAAGAATGTGTAAGCTAAAGGGCTTACACTCTGAATTCAACGGTATCTGACATACACCCCAGAAAAATTCAGGTATTATTTCTATCTTTAGGTATGAAAGCAAGACCCTCAAAAATATTTGTAACTTTTAATTAAAAATCTCCAAAAAAGAAGTCTCTGTAAGTCAAACCCAGGACTCATTATTTCTTTACCATATCACTGGTGAAAACAAATAGATTACTTTAACAAACCAACAAGATTATAACATATATGATGATTTGTAACTAGTATATATTTTGAGCAAATAATGTAAAAGCTGAAAAACTTTTGTTTGACCACAATTAAATTTAGAAAAGGTAGTTAAAACATGTGGAGTAAACATAAATGTCTTCCTGACACCGTAAATTGTATCAAGAAGCAATAGAAATGGGAAAGAAAGTTTAAGGATGAAAACCATGAGAATTTCTCGAAGGATTAGAGTGCCAGTGAATCACCTTCTAAGAAAAAAGGGATCAAAGCTTTTTTATTAGTTGAGACACTTCAAACTAGGCCAGACAAAGCCCTGGGAGGGTTTTCTGTAAAGGCAATCGTGTTTTGAAAGGGTGGATGGGCTGTAGAACAAATGTACTTGTTGAACTTCATCATCCAGGTGCAATTCACTGGAATGAACTCAACAGGAAAAGGAAAAGATAGGACATGCCTGTGCCTGGGATTGAGCTAATAATTGCTCCAGGATCCAGGCTTTGCAGCACAAAACAGTCACTCTCAGCTGACATTTTCTCTTCTTTGTAGTATCTCATGGATCATTTGATTAAATAAAAGTATGTGCACCTCTGTGCGAAAGTAGAGAAAAGGGCTGACTCCAAGCTATTGTAAGGTACAAGCAATGTATTTCAATCCAGTTTCAAAGTGCCTGGGTCTCATTTGGAAGGATTAGGTCATTCACCAGCAATAAAGTCCAGGATAACAAAAGCCAAGGATTATTTGCACACATCAGGGAGAAAATTGGTATGACTGGGTGTTCCTTTAGCCACATGTTAAGTCTAAATAGATTTCTTTGGTTTTGAGCTGTCCTTTAATCAGGATCTAGCAGCACATCTCCTATTATTAGTGATCCAGTTTTTCAAGGAGTGGAATTAATAAACTTGATTAACTAGAATCGAAATACAGAGGTGTTCTCAATTATATACAAGATTCTACAACTTCACCTTTTATTAATGTATCAGACTATAATTTATTATAGAGTACAGTTCACTTTCACATGCTTTACTGAACAATATATGGTAGAGTTTACTACTTGCTAACTTTTATTTCCTCTAAGCTCCTGATTAGCCTTTCTTGATAGTCTATACTGAAGGATATATTTCATCTAACCTAATTCAGAGTATTTCAACAAATCCTGTACAGATTATCTTTTAAATCATGAACTTCTTAGGCATTGTCAAAAAATGAGATATGGTGGAGAAAGTCATCAATTAGGTATTAGCAACCCCAGATTCAAATCTCAGCCTTGCCAATCTCTAGCCATCTCGCATTGAGTAGGGTATTTATCTTCTCTGTGCATCAGTTTCTTTATAAAAATACTTGTCGTGACTGGAAAAACCCTGAAGTATGAAAACTACAGCACATAGTAGCTGCTCAATGCAAGTTTATTTCTCTCTGTATAATCTAACCTACCTTTCAGGCTGGCCTAGTCTAATCCTCCCTGTTGATGTTATTAGAGCTGACAAAGCTCATCTCATAATACTATTGTTCAGAAACTTTGTCTAGCTGCACTAGAAGTCATTTAATACAAACTTTTAGCCCCACTGTGATAATTGCCTTCAAAATTTCTTATATAGGTGCATCTCAATGCATCTGTTGCTGTTCTTGGTCTTAATAGTGAAGACCTTTTGCTTGCTTTTTTAGGAACAAAGGCAACAAGGGGAAGTGTTATATGGGGCGAAATTTCTCTGTTGCTTTAGACATCTCTCTTTAATCAGTATGGGGGATTCACGTGTGGGATGCAGCTAATTGGATCATGGTTATTGCCTGCCCGTGTAACATTTATTCTTCTGGAGCTTTACCTCGTTTTTGATGTTATAAACAAGTCTCAAGAAATTTTTGAAACACCAGACTTGGGAAAATGATTCTTTTCATGAATTCTCTTACAATGGTTCTTTTCTCTGCTACAACTATTGATAAAAGCCTGAAACCATTTAAGTAGAATCCATCACCCTACAATCTCTGTGCTTTATTTTCTTGACTACTGCAGCATTATGCTGTGAAGAAAATGGAGGCAGGGAACTATACTATTGCACTGGCAATTATCTTCATTGTGCTAGAAGATATTTTCTGGGAGTGACTTGAGAAACAAATACATATTGTTTCAAATGATGTTTTTTGAAGAATAATGCTAACTTTTAATTGAAATGAGGTGTTGCTAGTGGCCCAAAGCTTTCCTGTACATCTCTGATCGTTCATTTCCATCCAGACGTGCGGCAGGCCTGCTTTCCCTGTCCGGGGCGTCTGCAGAGCAGACCTTCAGACTGCTCATTACCAAAATGCACAAGTAAGTTCAACCATTCAGTTTCCTTTTTTTTTTCTGAGCTTGCATGAGCTGTGAACTCTCATGGCTGACTTAGTGCTCTGAAAACCTCTTCCCTATCCTAACTTTTTTATTCACATGAAAAGGAATTGAAATCTGCAATTCCTTCTCAAGGAATAATATATGTAAACTAATATTCTCTTTAAAATGCTAGCTCACTAGTTCTAAAATCTTAACAAAAGATACATATCACTAATTGTCTCTGATCTTGAAATTTGTATCAGTACCTGGTATCTTGATATTCTATATTAAATCTGAACCTGGATGAATTTTTCTTATGAGAGTGGATCTCAAACTTTGGTGTGCATGAGAATCACGTGGAGCACATGATGGAGATACACATGCACTCTGCTCCACCAGAACTGAATCACATCCGGGGGGGTCAGGCCTAGCGATTTCAGTGAACTTCCCACTAAAATTTGGGAATTACTGCTTTAAAAGATCAAAGATTACACCTCCTTCTGCAGAATTGGCTCTTTGCTTTGAAGCTAGGTTAGTTTCCCTTTTTATTCTTCCCTCCTTTTTGATTTCCCTCCTCAAATAGAATTCCATTTCAACAAGGACGTAGTTCAGAACATTACCTTAGACAACGAAGGACCAGCTGTAATATGTTAATTTATTGAGGAATATCTTGGATTTGTTTCACACTCTTTGCCATTTAAGGGCTCAGAAAGTAATTTTTGGTTGGCTGGTTGTTGATACTTAATGTGTATTATTTACATACATCCTATGAGGAAAAACACTAGCAAAGGAAGGAAATAGTAAATTATGCAAACTTCACATAATTTTTTAGTAGGCTACTACTTCTCTCTTTAAATGCTCCACTACCCAGACCAGTCAGCTTTCCTAATCAGTAAATTCAGAAGCAGAACTAAAGGACTTTAATTAGCATATGTACTCTCCATACCAGAGAGTGGACAAAGTGTAGTTGTAGTGATTAATCACAGAGATCAGAACATAAGAGCAGGCCCATGTGTGTGCACCTTGGAAATGACACAGCAGGGGTCCGCACACTTGACTGTGTGTCAGAACTCCTTGTGTGACCGCAGGTTAAGCTAGTGCTGCGCCCACCCCCAAAGCTTCTGATTCCCTTGGTCTGGGGGTGGGGTGGGGGGGCTAAAGAAATTGAATTTCTAACAGTTTCCTATGTTATGTTGATGCCATTGGTCTGTGGACCACACTTTGAGAACTTTGCTGTATAGAGGAAGGAAACTTTAAACAGAGCCACAAGCGCCTCAGAAGGTACCTTGGAGAGCATTGGAGCTAGCAGTTTTCAAAGGGTTTTTTTGGGGATGTGGTAGAATTCCTCTTTCCACCACCCCTTCAATGAGCTTCCCAAAACTCTGGCTTAAAATTAAATAAAGTAAAAAATGACTATCTTAATCAGGTTACATTTCTTTGTTTATGGAATATTGTTTTTTTCTATGCAGGCTTCCAACATACAGACACCCCTAATTTGCACCCCTGACACACACACCAAGAAAGTTCTCTTAGTAGATTCTGGGAAACCATAGATAAGAAAATTGAGATCCAGAGAGGGAGCTACATGCCCAAGTCACATGGTCAAAAATTGCTGGAAAGATGCAAGTGGTGTTTATGTTAAGTGCTTATCTCTTCTACTGTTAATAGCCTAAGTTTATTTCTTTCCCCTTTACCTTATAATTTTATTTCAAGCTCCTATTCTTCACACTTAGACTGAATATTCATCTGTTTTATGACTGTGTAGTTATTCAATCAAATCACAGCTGAATTACAGATTTTGTTTTGAGTAAAGTACCGCTTACAAAATATTGAATAAGGAAAAAACTCACTTCAAAAATGATATCAGTTAGTGTGTCTCTGGAACTCCCCCTTTTTTTCTTTTGACCTTTTGTGCAAATCACCTCAATTCCCAAATCCATTAGTTCTGTTTTTGTGAAGGAATAGTTCTCCCTCCTCCCCCTTAGCTTCCATTCAAGAACCCAACTTAGCTTTACTAATTCAAGATGTTGTGTAGCCTAGATTGTACCCAGCTATTATTTGACTGAGTGTAGTGTATGACTTTTGTTTCTAGAGTACATACAAAATGTCATTAGTATATCATCCATCATCAAGCTAAAATATTATAAATACATGTGCCCATATAATAGGAAGGTGATTCCATGCATTAGCCATGTAAGAAAATCTAGACTGGAATGTCATTTCCAATATAATCAACTCACTTAACTGGAGAGTACCCTTTAGGAACATTATACTTAAATCATGATTACTTTTAAACCTCGAGAGAGTCTTTGCCTTAAAGACCAATACTGGAAGATCTCAGGAATAAACGTCAGAAATACTGGGTTCTAGTCATAGCCCACCCATTTAATTAGCCCTACTACTCTGAGCCTCAGACTCCTAATCAGTAGAATGGGAATCCCAGGCCTTGCCTTCTTACTGCATAGGGTTTTAGTGCAAATCAAATGATAAAATGTACACATATACACTTTTAAGTTCTGAAGCCCTATATTAATGGGTAGTTATTAATTTGTTGGTCTTTGCTAAGGTCTTTCTTTTCGCTTTCCACAAATTTGTTTTCCTTCTTTCCTCTTTTCCGCTCATATTCCTGAACAAAAGTTTCAGACCCAAAGTTCAGAACCTGATTCTCTACAGTGCTATTAGAGGAAATTTTGACAGAATCAGAAGTGGTTAGAGATTGATAGATGATAGATAGATAATAGATAGATAGATGATAGATAGATAGATAGATAGATAGATAGATAGATAGATGATAGATAGATAGATGAAAGATATAAAAAATAAAAACACTGAAATCTGTTGCCACATTATATAATAATAAGTAATGTGAAGTCTTAAAACCCCTTGAAGATCACTTGGTGCAATGAATTCTAAATGATTATTTCAATCTGAGAAATTCTTGGTTCAAACAAAATCTGATGTGGAAACCAGATGGGAGCAGAGGGACTCTAGCTGAAGTAGGGCATGGATTCCTGTGGATGTTAAGGTGCTCCATCCGATACACTTTGGAACACAGTTGAACAATGCTCTTGGAGTTCTCAGAGGTGAGGGGTGTGTAGACAAAGTTGATACTAATAAGGTAGAGCCACCAATGATGTTCAAAATTTGCTGGGTACCAAGGGAAGGAAATGTACAATGTGATTTAGAAAGATTTCCATTAAAATGTTAAAATATTAGAAGTATTATATTTTGAAGAACATAGCTTTCAGTTTCACAATAAAGCTCCTTGAAATGCATGACTTTTGATGACAACAAATAAAAATGGCTATGGCATTACTGGGGTATGGAAACCAGGTGGGACTTCAAAGTAGGGGGTGGAGTTATTCAAAATTGGCTATAATTTTATAATATTAATATAGAAGGAATTAGGCCAGAAGTAGAGCTAATCCATAATTTAGAAGTGGAGTACTTTGAGGTTGAGAAAAACATTGAATTTCTTCATGAAATGACTATAAGTGGAGAAAACATGCTCTACAATATGAAAGACACAGCATTTTTTATAATACTGCTTGGTTCTGAACCAGAATGAAACGTTTTAAAATTTTAGCCACTTTCTCTGGCTTGTTTTATTTAGTTCAAAGAGATTAATATATATGGCCGTTTTTAGTAGACTTGTTAATTTTTAAAAATTCTGATGTTCATTGGCCTGAATATTGTGATTTAGAATTGAGCATAATAAAAACATTAAAGAAAATGTTCAAATACTAGAATGAGCAATAAATTCAGAAACATACCTACCAATATAAATCACATATATAATTTAAAAAATTTGTGATGCAAGGTTCAGACATAAGCAAGACATCTCAGGTGGGTGTATTGGCTTTGTTTTCTGTTCTGTGGTACCTTAAATAGTTCCTTGGTGAACTGAAACTGTTATCTTCTACTGTGGCAATAAAGAAATTTTTAAGTTGTATGAATAGACCTTGCAACTAATCTTACAACTGAAAACCCCTTGTAAAATCCATTTATAAAATAAAAAAAAAGGTTTTCAAAAAGTATAATTAAAAATTAAATAGCAGTGAGGATGAGGACTTTGATATTTATGTATTTATTTTTATGTAGTTTGACATAAGCATATTTGACATATATGCAAATAATCTCTGATATTCTTGAAGTATCTACGTCTTGTAAATTTTAAGACTAATGAAACCAGACTTTATTTTTAGCACTTACCTCTTTTTGACTACTCACTTAACCTGAAATTTATTATATAACTTCTCATTTATTGTTTTATAATAAATAATTAATAATCCATACATTATTTTTATTTTTTAAAGATTGTAACTACTTTTTAGTTTTGAAAAATTACAACCGGGGAAAGGGTAATGCCAAATGAGGTATTTTGGTTTTAAACACAATAAGCTAACTTTGTTTTCCTTTGCCAAAAGTTTCAGACCCAAAGTTTACGCCTATCAGATGTACACAGAAAATCACATCTTTGGAGAGGAATAGTCAGCATCACACTGATTGAGGGGCGAGATCTCAAGGCGATGGATTCAAACGGGTTGAGTGACCCCTATGTGAAGTTCCGGCTCGGGCACCAGAAATATAAGAGCAAGGTGACCATATCCCTTTTGGGTTCTTTTCAGCATTATAAGGCAGTGGTAGTTAATAGCCATGCTTTGGAATATAAAAACACTAGGTACTTTTTAAAATGCTTACCGGAACTTCTTTTGAACGTCCTAAAAAAACAAGAGGTGTTATATTGCATTTGTATTACAATTTTATTGCATTTCTCACTTAGTGTGCTATGGTGACTTGGGTAAACTACTGAACTTCTTCATGTCTCAATTTCTTCATCATAACACAAGAATAATAGCAGGAACTATCTCTTAAAAAAAAAAAGGCTGAAACATGAAGTGCTGAAAGAGTACTGGTCACTATTATTATTACCGCTAGCACTAACATCAGTACAGCTAATATTATTTCACATGCCATAAAAACCTCTGTACCTCTGAACCATTTTAGTCAAGCTGACTTGTGCCAATATGGATTGCCAGTTTGTTTGTTTTTTAATTTAGAAAACAAAGGGCCAAATTCCTGCGACTACTACTAGCAGTGTGCCATGGGGCAAGTTACTTCACCCCTCCCTGCCCCAATTCCCCCATCTGTAAAGTTAAAACTAAAATGATGCCTCCCTAATAAAGTTACTGAGAAGACTGAATGAATATGTTTTTCAGGCACAGGGCTTGGAATACTGCCTCACCCATAATAAATACCCGATAAATGATGGTAGCAGAAGGAAAACGAAGAGTAGCAGCAGTAGTAAGAAATGCACTGTGTAATAACAATTCCATTAGTAGTAACACTATGTTTTATTAAATAATCATATTATTGATAGAAGTAGTAATAATTAGTAAAGGTCATTATAGTCCCAGTATAGTTGGGCACAAGTCTTATCTGTGTTATACCCAAATACAACCTCTTCAATGGTCAGCTTCTAGAGCTGTTATTGTAGACAGCTTGGGACTACTCATTACACCCATCTTGTGTTAAAAATCCCATGCTGCTTCAGTGGAAATACCTGCACCTTGACGTCATCATTTAGAACACGGCCTGCCTGAGTTCCTTCTGGCCCAGGAGGTGTTCATCAGTACCTAAGGCGGCGAGATGTCACAGAGCTGATTCACTAGCTGGCCGTAAGAACTGCAGGCAGGCTGATGAGTTACCTCACTGAGTGTCCACATGGAAGGGGCAGGCATCATTTCTGACCTGAAGGAAATCATATAGGGAAGACAATCACAAAAAAGGAAACTGAAAAGTTAGGCTCTTCTTGGCCAAATAAGTGAAACAGACCACTCCCCAGGATACCATAGGACTTCATCTGACCCAATTTGAATTATCATAGCATCCATCCAGTGCCATCATTTTTTTTCTGCCATGGGCTTAATAACATTTTAAAGAAACTACTGATTCCAAAAATAGGTACCTCTGACCACTTCTATCTTGTCCTTTATCAATTAACATCATTCCCATGTTCTGGTAGGCTTAAACATTACTTATTTTTATAGTTCTGCTCTTTAAATATGAAATATGAAACCCAGCTATGGACACGTGTCTCTCTTTGCTCTTTCTTTCCATGATCTATTGCTGATTAATTTCAGATTATGAACTTTAAAAATTGTGATTCATTTGCATTACCTTTGCACATAACATACTTCATTGCTTTCAAAGTCTTTACATCTGAAAATCTGTCTCTCATACATTAAAAAGAGAAAAGGCCACTGTATGCCTCTCTCTAAAAAGAAAGAATAGGGAAACAAATAGGAATGTTGCTTAATCCCATGGTGAATGAAATCTTAGAACGCATCAATATGGGTCACTTTTTTCATTGACTCCACCAGGTGTCTTATCTGAATACTAGAAATTACAAAATTGCACTTTAGATAAGATCTTTCTTGTATATGCATCATGGAGATTATACACGCACACATGCTCATATTAATTCTCAAACATTTTTGGCATATTGTTTTGGGGAAAGAGATCTAAAGCTCTAAACAAAGACTTGAGTTAGAGTCTAGATAGTAAAACATAATGACCTTTGGTGGGTCACTTAACCTCTAGATCTCAGTTCTTCCATATATAAAGTAGGGATGATACATCGATGCTGTAACTCTAAGGTAAAGCTTTGCCTGGCTATCCAAAGTTACTTGTTTTTTCCTCCTGCCCCCACAGAACTTCACTGTCTGTTTTTTTTCTTTTTTTCATGTGTTCAGCTAAGAATTCCTATGTGGAGGAAGCAAGGAAAATAAAACAAAACCTAGAAATCCTTATTTTCCTTTATTATGAGATGACAGGCTATGAGTTACATCTTTCTGCATAAAGTTGTTAGGTAAAATGCATGCTAATATCTGAGTGAGTTGTTTCACTTATAAACATTTACCTTCTCTATGTAATACATCTCTCTCATCTGTGATTCAAGTGGTGTGGGGGTGCCTTGTGTTTTCAGGGCACACCCTTTCAGGTTTTCTCAGACAATATTGCAGTAAAGATTCTAGAGCTCTAGTAACTCGTCTCCATCATTTCTGGGGAGCTGTTCAATTCTCACACTTACATGCTTTTTAGATGGTATCTAAAGTTCTATTGATTTAATGGTCTCGAGTTAAGGTTTTTAAAAGACTGATGTTGATGTGACAGTAATGACTTTTGTTTTTCCAGATTATGCCAAAAACGTTGAATCCTCAGTGGAGGGAACAGTTTGATTTTCATCTCTATGAAGAGAGAGGTGGCATCATTGACATCACTACCTGGGACAAAGATGCTGGGAAAAGGGATGATTTCATTGGCAGGTTTGTGAAGCTTGGTGTCTTTTGCTTCACCCTGCAGAGGGGGAATTTTGTTAAGAGGATAATTTCTTTCAGTCTGGTTATACTGGCCTTTTCTGGTTTACTGTCCTGGAGGAAAGTATCTTACCATGTAAGGCAATGCTTGGGCGAACTGAAAAGTCTATTTGAAGGCTGACCAGTAGGTGGCAGTTTTGACCAGTTGATAGACAAGCTGTCTGAATTGGATAGCCAGAAATTTTCTCCAGATGTCAGGAACGCTGTGTGTAAAAGCTATGGGAATTGAGAAAGAGGAATCTCATTTGATGTAAGATACTTAAAAGAACAAAGAGCATATTCATAGTCTGTAAAGTGATCTGAAATAATACCACTTTTCATAAAGCATATTGTGACCATGAAATGCATTGTTTCCTACAACTCTCTGCAAGGTAGAGAATCTTTATAATCTCCTAAGAGTTCATAAATCTGCAGAGTCCCCAAATTTTAGTGAAGGAAACATGCAAGTGAAGCAGATCCATGTTAATCTGATCATGCAGGGAAGAAGAGAGTATTCTGAGGTTTATATGACATCTCTCCACAAAGAAGGTTATTTTGAATAACTGCTTGAATTATAAGAGTTTTTTTCTTACTTTAAAGCCTGTTTTTCTAGTTTTAGATAGTTATATATGTCTTTGTAGCAAAGCAAATTGAAACCTGCTACTACTGAAACAGAGCGTGGTGGACAGAAGAATTTGTTAGTTTAGAAAATTCTTTCATCATTGCAGTTCACATGACTCCCAAATCTCTGAACATACAGCTTGAAGAAATGCATACATACTAATAATTATAAGAGAATTTTATGCTAGAAAAGCAAGAACAGAAATCCAACACAACATATTTACCTCTTTGTTTCTTTTGTTATTCTGATACATATGTTTTAGACAATGGTTTTCATCACAAAATTGTAAAGTAAGAGGTCAAAGATAAGCTTTAGTTAACCTTTAACACTTTGTTATAGAATGAAATGGGAATAGCACCACTGCAACCCAAAACTATGGTACATTTCAATGCTTTTTGAAGGATAGACCTTCATTAAATATTATTTCCCTCTGGTCAAACACTATTTTCTGAATTTTCTTCAAGTGCTCCCTGTTCTCTTAGGGGATATACCACCATCTTAAATAGCAGTATATGTCTGTTAATACACTGAATACATCTCATTATAATTATATATCAGTGTTTCTATCTCTCTTAATACACTGTGAACTCTGTCAAGTGGGTACTGTCTTGCTATTCCTTGAATAATTAATTCATTTTCATAATTTATAGCAACATAAGCTATAGTTGGTTACTACAAGAAAATCAGAATGACTGCCATGTGTATCTTGCTACTTCAGTCCCATTACTTTATATTCAAACATTTTTATGTTGGCAAAATAATGAAGTAATTGGAAAAATGTACTGGCTTCCTGTACTTATGGGTCCATATATTAAGTCTTCTTATCCCTTTTCCTGTTTTTTCTTCCATCATGAAAGATATCCTTTCATGGTTTTTTTTCTTCCTTTGAAAAGAATTTGGGAATTATGAAAATTTCTCATCCCATTTGGTAGTGCCCTTTCCCTTTCCTCACATGATAATGTGACTTCTTCAGGTGCATGACTTGTTATGTCACGGAAATGGTTGGCAGAGGTGTGGACCTGCTGGTCTCACTTCATGTTGTTTCTATGAGTTTGTTCATATTTTGGCAAATTTTGAAGAACAGTGGCAAATGGCTCATTTGAAAATCGCAGGGATTGCTCCAAATAACTGGGAGCGCTAACTTACGAAGTCTGGAAAAAAAGAAGATACCTGTTTTTGGAGCTTCTGGGTGGCTGAAGCCATGGCAGTGCAGGGAGACTAGGCCACCCTGACTGGCGTGGAAGCCCTGTGCCCCTTCCCACACACCCTGCCTGGTGCCTCTTCCATCTGGCTGTTCCCGGGGGACATCCTTTTATAACAAACTGATGATCTAGTTGGAAGTGTATTCTCCCTTCTTACCTCCTCTTGCTGTTGGAGATGTTTACCACCCACATATAGTTTCTGACTCGGGCTTTGCCTGGATGCTTGGATGAGTTTTCTGTGGTCACAGCTATTACACAGGAGAACCCAGCAAGCAAGTCAAGGTGCCCTGGGCGCTGTCGCCCTTAGTGTCCTGCTGGGCACTACTCTGTGCTCTGCTTCCCAGTGTCTTGGTTGGAGTAAAACTGGTGTGATGGTGAATTCAAAGGCTGCCATTAGAGAATTACAGGAGTTTTAAAGATACTCCATTTTGAATTACTTACTTTTATTTCCAGTCTTTTTCTAAATATTACAAAAACTTATCTGGCATTAGCCTCATAAGAAAAAATATCCACCTTTGGATATAGGCCAAACATAATTGCCTATGAAAGCAATTGGAGCCAAAAATCTTAGAGGGAACAAGAGCACAGGTGTAGACAAGATGCTTCCTCAGACCACTTTTGAGTATCAGTTTAAAGCACTTTATATACAAGAAAAGGGGATTATTGTTGAATTTTGAGATAATCAGAGATGGACAATAGAAACTTGTCATACACTCAAATAATTTAACAAAGATGCCTGTTGCACAAAAAGGAAATGACTTTGGTAAATCATTGTTTCAAATCTGTTCAATACCCAGATTGCACCAGACACTCTAGTGCAATATAAATAAAATAATCTAGCTTAATGCTTATTAAATTGTATTTTATACACATCCTGCCATGGAGAAACAATATATTATCATACGCAAGAGGCAGGCAAGTAAAGTCGCCTGTGTTTATGTGAAGGTTGTGTGGTAACAGTAGAAGTAATAGAATTCCTTGGTTCCTAGAATAGTTTAGAAGAGAATTGACTTACCTTCCAATTAAATTTGATTCTAAGAGTGACCTAATAGAAGTAAGACAGTCACTGTGCTTTCTTTTGCTAGCTATCATTACAACATTGTATATATTACAAAAATATTTATTTTTTGGAATATACTTGACATCTATGTAAATTTAAGGTGTACAAATGTTTTGATACATCTATATATTGTAATATGATTGCCATGTAGCTACAGTTAGCCCCTCTATCACATCACATAATTACCATTTTGTTTTTGTGGTTGGAATAATTAAGATACATCCATATTAACTTAAAAATAGGAGACTTCTGAGAGTTGGCTGGTGGCTGGTGAGTAAATGTAAAGTTGGCCATGGAAGGTAATACTGTGCCTGTAATGGCTAATAACTTTTTTTTAAGGATAGTGTCTAAATTCAGTCCCAAATTTCAGAACACTTGTATGGATTATATTATCTATGTAGGCTAGTTTATTGTCTTATGGTTTTGTTATTGTCTTCTTTATTTCCCGGTTTTATTCACATATAATAATTTTTGAATACGTGCTTTATAAATGTATACTTAATAACAGGGCTTTTTTTTTCATAATAAAGACAAGACTGGCTATGAACAAAAGAGCCACTTGCATACCTGTAGTGTGCATACAGTGAGAACTATTTTAACACTGCACATTACTCACCCCACCCCCCAGTTCTCTCGAACCCGTAGACGGGCTTCTGCCCCACCGAACTACTCTTGTCATGGTCCCCTGTGACCATCAAATCGTTAAATCCAAAGCCAGACTTTAGCCTTCCCCCAGCAGTGCGGAAACTTACATGCTTCTCACGTGGCTTCCAGGACAGCAACTCTTTGTTTCCACTTCCTCATCATGCCTTTCTTGGTCTCCTTCATAGATTTTTCCTCGTCTTCTTCCTCTTTTAGTTCAGAAAAGCCTCAGAGCTCACTCCTTGGGCACACTCTGTGTCTACGCCTGCTCCCAGGGTGACTTCATCCACTTTTGTGCTTTCCGTACCATCTGAGATTTCCGTGCAATCTGAGGACACATGCCCACTGCACTCCGTAACTCCCCTCTGGACTCCAGATTCCCACATCCAACTGCCTGCTTGCTGTGTCCACTTGACTATCTAGTAGTGGGTCCAAAGCCATATTTCTGGCCCCTAGTCTCCCCAAATCTGCTTGTCCTTCAGGATTCTTCCTTGTTTGTTGCTAACAACAAAAGTCCTGGAGTCATTTTGTATTCCTTTCTTTCTCTCACTCTTACCAACTCCATCAGCAACCTGTTAATATTCCCTTCAAAATATATTCAGAATTCACTTCCCACATCATCTTATTATAATTCTTTTCGAAACTGCCATTATATGTCGTTCTATGTGGACAATAGCCATAGCCTCCTGTTCTTCTTCCTTCCCCATCCCATAAATAAAATAATTTAATTCCTCTGCCCCAGAACCCCTCAGTTGTTTCCCATTTTAATCAGGTTAGAGCCTGAGTAAGTCCTTACAATGAGTGATCTGTAATGCTCCTCATCATATGGCCCTCTTACTCCTCTGCCCTGAACCTCTATTCTGCCTCTCCCCTCTGCGGTAACACTCTTTCTTCAGGTATCCACCTGCCTTGCTTCTTTACCTTCTTTAGGTCTGTGCACGAATGTCATGTCAGGGAGGCATCCATACTAAACCTCTGTAAAATTGAAAGACACTTTTCTTGATATTCCCTTTCCCCAACCTATTTTGTTTTTCTCCATAGATGTAATCACCATTGGACATACTATGCATTTCACTTATTTATTTTATTTATTTCTCACCCCTGGAATGTAAGCTTCATGAAGTCAGGGATTTTTGAGTGTTCCATTTTTGTTCACGATGGCATCTTCAATGCCTGACATAGTATATGTGATTATATAATGTGTGTGTGTGTGTGTGTGTGTGTGTGTGTGTGTGTATATATATAGCATGCACATAATAGGTGCTTAATAAATATTTGCTTGATTTTCATTTAAACTAATGCTGAAGCTTGATTTAATATTAGAAATTATGGCTCTTCCTTCTATAAGTAAATATAGAATTTGACACCAGCCATTAGTGCAAAGGCACTTAGAACAACATGACTTAATGGAAGGTACAAAGTTTCAGTGTAATTGGGGAAAGAT